ACCCCCCACTGCGTCCATGGGGCCGTAAAAAAAACCCAGTAAAGGCCCGTGTCCCCTGCGATGGACACCAACCCACCCGATTCCGTCTGCCACTCGGAAAGTCAGTACTTGAAATGGAGCACCGGTTATTTCCTAAGAAATCAGTGAAAAGTCCGTTTGGCTGTGTCAACAGACACGACACGACACGACACGCCCCGACAAAAGACGTGTCGGTTGGAGAGCCACTTGCTCAATTTTAGCAAGCCGGGTCGTGACTCATGAGCCATAGGCCCCGCCGGAACTACAAAAAAATCTATTTTTGAGTTTGGATTTAAATTCTTATGTCAAGTTCGTAATCAGACCCTCAAAATTAGCAAATTCTACGCGCAAACCACCTGTTTTAAATGCATATTAACAATTATACCAATTTTCCTTTAAAAATCCTTTCATTTCTTATTTCCGAATTGGGTTCATTGACCTCAACTATTTACAGCCCAGTACCGAGGACAATGATTATAAATACCGTCTCTGACCGAGGACACAGCCTTGGGACTCTGTGTGTGGAATGAGACGGCCAGTAGGCCATCAGACTAGACACGTCTTGTCCGAACTGGTGGACACATAAGACGGAAACGACCCGACCGATTTTCTTCCTCCCGACAAAAGATCGGGCCGTGTCCATCTCAGTAGTCTTGTAGAGTAAGACTTACATTTTATTCTAACTATAGACCTCATCTCCCCTTCTTCTTTTTTGTGTTTTTTGCTCCCTTGTAAAACCTCTAATCTTCAGAACTCATATGAACTTATTGGGTTGCAAGTGCCATAAAACTCTTACTAAAACTTTGTTTTTAAAATTCTATTCTACTCAACACATACAAGTACAAGTAGAATACTCACAGATAGGACATCCAGTAGATTATATTGAGACCAGAAAAGGCTGCTGGGAACAGGATTCGCGCCACTTTGTCGATTTTACTCACGCTGTTCAAGCCGATCGAGTTTCGAACATTTTTGTTAAATCTGGGGAGGGAGGAAGCGACATGTCAAAGCAGGAATCTCGGGGAAATAGAGAGAGATACTGGGGGGTGGGGAGAAGAGAGAGAGAGAGAGAGAGAGAGAGAGAGAGAGAGAGAGAGAGAGAGAGA